AAAAAAAAAAAAAAAGACAGGATGGATTATTACCATAATTCGGTGATTTAATATGATGACACGTATGCATTAATCAAAGTTAGCACTACTGATAGCTCCGCTTCTAAGAAACACAGTTTTCTGATGGTAAACTAACAAACCTTAGCTACAGCACAAAGTGATCAGTTTCTGAAAATAAGATCTATGGAGGCATCAACCTTACAAACAAGATAAGTTGCTGAAAGTTACCCATCTGCAGTGGACATAATCACAGCTTCAGCATGTCAGCACTTCAGCTGATCATTATGTTTTCTCTGCTCTGTGAGTCTGCATTTTACTTTCTTTGGTTGATTATCAGTAAAATACAGACAACTTTTGAAACTTTAAATCTAATTTTTTTAGCCAGCTTTCCTTTCCACCATTATAACTGCTCTTTGATGTGCTCGCTGCGTCTTCTGTGGTTTACAGAACCGCACCTCTTCCTCACTAGTAAACAATGCAACCACAAACAATAGAAGTGATTCTGCCCCCAGCAGTGTGTGTATTTCATTGCAGAYGCAAATAAACATTTACGTGGCTAAATAATATGAATTTTTGATAAGAAAATTCCGTGTCAACTATTTTTTTTATAATCGACGTAATCGATCATTTCAAAACAATCAGCACTAGCTGACAGCAATTAAAATATGACAACTGTGCTTCCAGGTTTTTTGACTCTAACACATTCTAAAATACTTAAACTTCCTCACTTTAACAGGTTAAAATAGTAAGCTGTGAATTGAAGCCCACCTTTTCCACAAGGTGGAGTGGCAGCAAATCTTTCATAACACATTATCACACAGCCCACCACGTGTTATCTCCTTCCTGCTCTTACTTTGCTGCTTATGAGGGACAAATTAACAGAGAATCATGGATTCTCTTTGCAGAAGGAGAGTTTGTTGTTTGTTTTCTGGCTTTCCTCATACTGGCTTTATGGTTGATTAAACAGGTTCATGGTGTTCAGGTTGCCTACTCTGTGCTGCCTTTTATCATTGGGCCTGCTTGATAGTAAGAGAGTGTCACAGATGAAAATACATCATCATGGCACTAATTGGTTAATTTAACATGATACGGTTTTGCCCAACCCTACCAAGAAGTCATTTAAATTAACAGATTTCAGGGGAAACATTTGTTTATTGATTTTCTTTGGGTTCCTCACCATCTTGATCTCCCAGTTGACGTTCCACTGTTTCATGTTGCTGAAGCGCCAGGTCTTGATGGCGTCTCCAGTGTGGGCATCCATCCGGATCAAACGGTTGTAGGTGATTCCGATCAGCTCTTCTTTCTTTCCACCCTGAAATCTACACCATGCAGGAAAAAAAAATAAAAAGTCAACATGTGTGCTGTGGCTCAACTGACCCGATGAGAATGTGCCAGTCATACTTTGCGAGGAAGTGAGTGATTCCAAATTCGGGCAAGGACTGCCACGCCTGGATGAAGCGCATCTTGGCCTCGATGAGACTCATCTGGGCCACGTTCTGGTGGGCTTCAAGAATCCGGGCCGAAATCTGTCGGTCACACAAATCACACACACACGTTTATTACATGGTGTAGTAATTYAAGTCGTTACAAACTCCCCGGTGAAAATAAATGTTTGCCATCACCAAACATTTAACCACTCACCACACCCAACACCACGCACACATACAAACACGCACACRCACACACCCAAATGTGTAAACAAGCTGCGACTTACTCCAAATCAGAACACACAAGTGTCAGCAGACGATGAAAGAGTCGATGTCAAATGACAAAAGTTCAAACAAATCTAAATTTGAGCCCATGAGATGCCAGATAAGATTAGAGTGAAGAAAACCTTTAACAYGTGAGTCTTCATGCATTTTTAATGATTTGTATTAAACTTAATATGAATGGTATTAAAAAAAACACATCAGTGTTAACATCATCATAAAGTTATTTACATTTCCTCTGATAACTTACCTGCAGACTAATGTTTTCATCCTTTTCATATTACAGAAATAAAATAAACAAATCTACAAACTGGTAGAAAAATGGGTGTTAAAAGACTAAAGCATGCAGCAGAATTACACTGTCTATTTATCTGTCTAAAAAAACCCTGTCACTTCCACATCATTTCAGTATTTTTTAGGTGCGACGTCTTTTTTTTTTTACATTCTCTGCAAACTTGTTCCAGCTGAAGACAAACAAGGAACAGAAAGCATCAGAAATGATGCCATCTACACTACAATGACAGCTACTATTTAATAGTTAGACGAGACTACCCAGACCAAAAAAAAAACTTCACACAAACATGCACTAAAGCTTTCAGGCACCCAGTGAACACATCACTTACCAAGTCCCTGACATAGCCTGGCTGAAGAGGGGAGGTGGGTATTGGAAGACACAGGGGTATGACAAAGATGCAGACAAAGAAAAAGAGGAGAGTTTGGACAAAGAGAACAGGTGTGTAAGATCACTGTGGAGGGAGGAAAGGTCATAAAACAATGCAGGAAGCCATAACTGTCATAAAAAAGGCGCAGTTGGAAAAGACCTTCGAAGGAGGTGTCATGCATGTAGCCACAAGAAGTAGAACAAACAGATAATAAATAGATTTTTACAAAATAGAGGAAGGCTTGTGCAACTGCTGTATGTAAAATATTAATCAAAAAGGGAAAATGTGCAAATTAWGCACTGATTTGATCTGTTTATTCTGTAATAACTTCCACTATAAACAAAGTTCAACTCCTTTCATCCACAAGATGGCGCTATCTACCAAGAGACGTGGAAGCAGAAGTCTGGGCTTCAGAAATGGTTTATTTTGCTTTCAAATGTTGATTTTCTGTGTAAATGTACACATCGAAACAAAAACTACTCTGATCCAAGTAATCCCCCCCACCAATTTTTGTCTTCACATCCGCTTGAAGCTGCAGCACCGGATGTCTTCTTGGATAAATCTTGCGACAGGAAGCCCAGTTTAGCCGGGTTGGGAGGGGCTGCAGCTGCCTGGAGAACTAACGGGCTTTTCACAGATTTCCCGGGCAGCATTCCCAAGTAAGGCTCATTTTCTGATTGCCCCACGCCCACTACACAACTACACGCACGTGTGTGTGTGTGTGTGTGTGTGTGTGTGTGTGTGTGTGTGTGTGTGTGTGTGACTACAGACACACTGTACATACTGTGCACCATTAATGTTGTGCCTGCGGAAATCATCTATCAGACTCTAAATTGGACCTGGGTTAAAAAATAAAATAAATCACAGTTACACATATGCTGCTGAACTACAACTACAGTAACTATAACTTTAACAAAATACTGTATATCCCAGCTGTTTACTGTTAATGACCAGACTGAATATAGAGTTTTGCTATTTTTGTTTTGTGTCAGTTTTGTTTCTATGTACTGCAAAATAAATAAATAAAAGTTATATATGTCTATTTGGTTTGTTATGTCTGGGTTTATAATTTAAGTATGTATGAGTGAATATATGTATGTATCTGTCTTGTTCTCTTGTTAAAATTAATAAATATATGTTAAAATAAATAAATAAATTAATAAATAAATTATTAATTAATAAAATTTACTAAAAAGCTGTAGCATAGTTCAAAACAGAACAACAACAAAAAATTCTAGTGACTACAACTCCCATAAAGTCTGGAAGGTCCTAGTGGCTTATGGGAGCTGGAGTTTTTACAAGTTAGTCAATCTTTCAATGCATACATTTGACTTAAAATCTCTGTTCCTTTTCAGTCATTTCACTCAGTACAACACACAGTTGTATATGGGACACGCGCGCCCTCGTGCACCTGGCTGAAGCCACCTCTAATCACGTCTTTAGACCGGTGACGTGGTGACGTTGAACGTCTGGTGACAGGCTCCGCCTTCACCCTATAAGTTCGGAGTCACCAGCGGCATTACTCAGTTCTATCGCCCTTCACCTCATGATAGTCACCTCTAAACCTGCGCTCACATAGCTGCTG